ATTTTAAAAAAAATACATTTTATTGATTTTTTACAGAGAGGAAGGGAGAGGGATAGAGAGTTAGAAACATCGATGGGAGAGAAACATCGATCAGCTGCCTCCTGCACACCCCCAAGGTACATGCCCTTGACCGGAATCAAACATGGGACCCTTCAGTTCGCAGGCCGACGCTCTATCCACTGAGCCAAACTGGTTAGGGCAAGGAAGCATTTTTAAAACAATTTGGTAAATTATATATTTCTCTCCCTACCCGTCCCTCCAAAATTTAGCAATCTATAATAATAAAAGCATAATATGCAAATTGATCGAACGGCCAGACAGCAGAATGACCATTCAAATGTCCTTCCCGACAACCTTCCAGATGAAGCCGGGCCTTCAAGGGCCGAGGCAGCTGGGGCTGCAAAGGCCTACTCTTGCACCAATTTTGTGCATAGGGCCTCTAGTTCTTAATAAATAGCAATACATTTCTTTACATAAATTCAATAAAACCTATTTTCAATTATAGCTATATTAACCAAGATAAAAACTAATAATAGGCCTACTTATAGCAGCCATGCCTTTGCCACTTTTGTAGGACTTGGTCCATCCAGCACTCCATGGGATTCCCTTACTATCCACAGGGGCAGGCTTTAGGAACCAAAACAGCCTCGATTGCCTGCCTCCTTAGGATTTTATTGTAACAACAGCAGTCTGACATCCCCCAAGGGGTCCTGGATTGCGAGAGGGTGAAGGCCAGGCCAAGGGACCCCACTGGTGCACAAATCCATGCACCGGGCCTCTAGTATATATATAAAACCTTTGCTTCTTAGGCAAATACAGGAAAAACTTTTTTTTCCCTTTACTTTCAGAAATAGGCTTATTTTTCCTATGGAAAATATACTCACATTCTTAAAAAGTATAACAGAGATAACATGATTTTGATAACTCTTAGGAGGCTGGAGAAAGGATGGGTGTGTAAATGGGGAGATAGCAGGTCCTGGGGTTTGTTCCCAGGACTGCAGTCACTTCTGGGCCTCTAAGCTTTAGTGTAAAAGTATCATTTTTTTTTTCTTTACAAAGAGAGTGCTTTCTCACCCTGCTTCTGCTACTTCCACAGCCTATTCAAGGGTACTTCCGTAGCTCCAGCCCTCTAGGATAAATACTTGGAGAGTTTAAATAATTATTTTCCATATTTTTTTCTTTTTGAGTAGACTAATAATATGAAATCTTGTACCGGTGTATAAGAAGAGATCTTAAAAACAGAAACAAAACAACAAACGAACCCTGCAGTAAATAAATCAGCACTCACAAAAGGGTGGACTGGGACATTAGCCTTAGAATCTTACTACACTAACCTAGCACAGCAAAGAACATCAATCAGTAACAAAGTTGCATTATGGACAGATAAGAATTTCAACTAAGAGCTTATAATGGCTGATGTCTTGAGAGGGAGAGCAGGAAGATACCCAAGATTAAGAGTTCTTGCCAGAACTGGTTTGGCTCAGTGGATAGAGCATCGGCCTGCGGACTCAGGGTCCCAAGTGTGATTCTGGTCAAAGGCATGTACCTTGGTTGCGGGCACATCCCCAGTGGGAGGCGTGCAGGAGGCGGCTGATCGATGTTTCTCTCTCATCGATGTTTCTAACTCTCTATCCCTCTCTCTTCCTCTATGTAGAAAATCAATAAAACATATTAAAAAAAAAAAAAAGAGTTCTTGGCAGCTGCTGGGAAGTTCCTGCATCCCTGCCACGTGTTCAGCCTGCTACAAATAGCTGGGGCCCCTAGCAAAGTGAAAGATGGCCCACCTTTAAACAAATTAAACCAAACAACAAAGACACAAGACAATAATCAACAGAGACACTCTACATACAATATTTATAGGCGTGTATAACTTATAGACAACCAGAGCGCTTTCCATGGATCTCTCAGAAGATGTCTTATAGTGCCCGGGACTTACAGGTAGAGTGCGGCCCAGAGGGCTCCCAGGTGGGGTGGCCAGTGAACACCCATAAGCAGCCTGTTGTTCACAGATCTCATCATATTCTGCTCTCCTTAATAGATATTGACTGGTGTCCAGAGTTGTTTTGGCTAAACTCTGCCAGTCCCAAGGACTCATGTGATCATTTTCAGACAAGGCATTAAGGAGTTTTTTTGCAAATGGACTGTTAGCCCATTTTCTCTAACACTTTCCCTTATTTCTTTAAAGGTATTAAAGGAAAGAGGCTCATAAACTCTATTACCTTGTTGATCTTGCATAACTGGGCAAGTCAAAAGCTCTCCTTCTAACATGGCTTGTCTGACACAGGACCCCAACTGAGGATCTAGTTGATGAGCCTTCCCACACTGGAGGCTGAGGATCGGGAAATATTTCCTCCAGCGGTGGGGCTTTAGGTATTACAGGCTCTACAGGCTCTGCTTCAGGAGGAGTGAGTAGTGGTAAATCCTCCTGCTGCTCTGTAGGCTTTGGGTCTTCAATATGAAGTGGACAAAATGCAGCTCGAACAAGAGCCCACATAGTTAATGATGATAAGCACATTCATTTTCCCTGGGCCTGATTTCTCTTTAAATTCCTGCCCACTTGTTCCCAGAGATTAAGGTCTAGCGTTCCAGCATCAGGGAACCAAGAATTATAAATTATAACAGTTTTTAATAAGCTTTTTAGTTGTTCTCCTGTAACAGAGTCACCACCTGCTTCTAATAACTGTTTAAGCACTGTGCTATACCACTGCTGTTCTGTGGACAACTGTTGTCCCATTATGAAACTTTAGCTGAGAAAGAATTCCCTGAAACTGGAAATCCCAAGTGGGCTCCAATGACTTCCTGTGCAGTTACTTTCGTTTTCTTCCTCTTCGCTTTCAAGGGTTCCACCATATTTTGTTGCATTCCTGGTTCCTCACATGGGGAACCACTTTCCAGGAATGACCAGCAGACCCTAAGCACACATTACTCTGACACACATTTCTGTGAAAGAGAAGGCTAAGGGGCTGTTTGGCTTTAGAAACCAAAACAGCCTTGATTGCCAGCCTCCTTAGGCTTTTATTGTAACAACTAGAGGCCCGGTGCACAAATATTTGTGCACTCAGGGGGGAGGCGGGCCCCTCAACCCGGCCTGTGCCCTCTCGCAGTCTGGGACCCCTCGGGAGATAACGACCTGCTGGCTTAGGCCTGCTCCCGGGTGGCAGAGGGCAGGGCCAATCCCTAGGTGCAGCCCCTGGTCAGGCTCAGAGCAGGGCCAATTGGGGAGTTGGGGCGCTGCCCCTGTCATACACAGAGCAGGGCGATCGGGAGGTTGTGATTCCACCCTCAGTCACACTCAGGGTAGGGCCGATTGGGGGGTTGGGGTACCATCCCCTGTCACACTCAAGGCAGGGTCGATGGGGAGGTTGTGGTGCCACGCCCTGTCATGCACAGAGCAGGGCCAATCAGGGGGTTGGGGCATTTCCCCCTGTCACTCACAGAGCAGGGCCCATCAGGGGGGTTGGGGCTCTGTACCCTGTCACGCACAGAGCAGGGCCCATCAGTGGGTTGGGGCGCAGCCCCCTGTCATGCACAGAGCAGGGCCCATCAGGGGGTTGGGGCGCCACCCTCTATCACCCACAGAGCAGGGCCAATCAGGGGGTTGGGGTGCCGCCACTCTCACTCTCAGGGCAGGGCCGATGGGGAGGTTATGGCTCTACCCTGTCACACACAGAGCCGCAGGGTGATCAGGGGGTTTGGGCGCTGCCCCCTGTCATGCTGATCCCGGTGCCGGGAGGCCTCGCGGCTCCGCTGATCCCGGTGCTGGGAGGCATATTACCCTTTTACTATATAGGGTAGAGGCCTGGTGCATGGGTGGGGCTGGCTGGTTTGCCCTGAAGGGTGTCCTGGATCAGGGTGGGGGTCCCCACTGTGGTGCCTGGCCAGCCTGGGTGAGGGGATGATGGCTGTTTGCCTCTGGTCACACACTCTTCAGGGTGGGGGTCCCCACTGGGGTGCCTGGCCAGTCTGGGTGAGGAGCTGAGGGCTGTTTTCAGGCTGGGGGTGACTGAAGCTCCCAACCGCTCCTTTTTTTCTTTTTTCTTTTTTTTATTCTGGGCCAGCTTTAGCTTTGAGGCTTGGCTCCAGCTCTTGGGCCTCCGCTGCTGAAAGTAGGTTTCTGGCCTTTGCATACAATGTTGCGATCCTGCTGGCTGGTGCCCAGCAGGTTTCTGGGGTTTTGTTTAGCTTCTATGTTTGTTATATAGTTGCTTGCAGCTCAGAGGCCTCAGCGGCAGGCGGGGAACGTTGGAGTCCTCCGTCACTGAAGCAAGCAAGCTTCATGTTAGTTTCAAGCCGCCTGGCTGCCAGCCGCCATCTTGGCTGACAGTTAATTTGCATATTGCCCTGATTAGCCAATGGGAAGGGTAGCGGTCGTACGCCAATTACCATGTTTCTCTTTTATTAGATAGGATAGCTTGAACTAAAATTAACCTCTAGATACAATCAGCAGGGTAAGTATCCTTGAGAACGCATATGCTTCTACTAGGTCTGGTTTAAAGACTAAAGGGTAGACAGTGATTCAACCCACCAAGATGGGAAGTCAGGAGAGAATCAGGTTTGGGGAGAGAGAACGAGATACTTTGGGGCATAATGAGTTTTCCCTCTCAGCAGGCAAATGTGTAAATGGATGTAAGATTTGGGGATTGCCCCTTGGGGGTGGAGTGGGTATTTGACACCACAGGAATAAGTAAGTTGCCTGGACTGAGTGTGAAAGTAGAGAAGGGAAGAGAACATTGCTTTCAACCTTGAAGGCAGGTAGGACAGAGTGTGTAGGTGGGATAAGATGGAGGAGTTAGGAAAACTGGCAAGGAGGACATAGTATCCCTGAAATGGAGGGCAGCCTTAAAGAAGGGTGTGGTCAACCATGCTCATTTCTCCCTGGAAGGCCACCACCCACTGTGCACAAGGCATCCTGGGAGCAGGCAGCCGCATGCCCAGAGGGGAAGGCAAGGAGAGCAAAGTTGTGGATCTCGTCATTATTTTTAATCTCCTTGCAGATTTCGTCAGTGCTCAGCAGCATTTTCTCCCAGAGACAAAGCTGGGGACTTGGGGCCTGGGTGTAGCTCCTGCAGCCTTAATTGCTGAGTGCGAAGCTCCTGCAGAGAGCCCAGCCTTTGGAGGAGCCCAGCCATCCACCCTTCAGGAAGAGGCCGGCTCTGAGCTGCCCATCTCTTTGTACATTTCTTCTGACTTGGCAGCATACACCCAGGGAGCAGAAATCACTCTATCTGTGCTGCCGAAGCGAGCACTAGAAATCACTCTAGACATTGCAAAAACATTTAAAGAGGAAAAGTAAGTCTCTGCCCCTCCCCCTTTATTCTATGCTCTTCATCTTGTGTGTTGTGAGTTTAAATGAGTTTAAAGGAGAGTTTAAATGAGTTTTGAGGCCCCACTATAAGGTAAAAGATTTTTTATTTTGTAAGTTTTCTGTTTTTTATCCAGCAAGATTTAGTGTTCTTCAACTGAAGATCTCAAGTCTCCCTAGGGACACAGATGAATCTATTCCGCACTCCCTGTGAACTAGGGAAGAGCAACTAGCTCTTTACTGGAGCTACTTCGCGGACAGCTGGTTTTGGATAGATAGCCCGGTGCTATGAGTACATTCATGCACTTATTCATTCAGCAGATATTTATTGGCTGCCTCCTCTGTACAAAATAGTGTGTGTGAAACTATGCCCTGCCCACAGGGAATAGCCAGGTGGGGAGACAAGATATAACTTGCGCACAGATTTAAAAACACTGTAAAGAACAAGGGCCGATGCCATTGCGTGCTAAATGAGATACAGAAGGCACAAGTTTCTGCTGTCAGGAACCATCACTTAGATCTGTCTGATCCAGGGAGGCTGGTGGAAGACATGGGCCTCCAAGTGAGATGCTATCGAGCGGCTAGCACCTACCCTCTGCCACCTGCTAGTTCTCAGCCCTGCCTTCTAGAATGGAGAACTGTGCCTACCTAACAGTTGTTGAAAGCATGCAGTGAGCATGGCTCATGTCATTCTTTCCCAGTTCCCTTAACCCCACGAGTTTACTCTCCCGCAAAACCCTGCTTTGCAGCCTGATACGCCTTCTCACATTGTGTGCCTGATGCCTTATCTGCCACCCTCACTTGTCCCCGTGTCACTTCAAAGTCCCACCTCTTGGCACATAGTAGGGATTTTGTAAATATTTGTCGAATGGGAACCTTACTGACACAGAGTGGGCAGTGTGCTCTGAGCTGAAGCTGGAATGTGCTTGAGTGTTCAGAGGAGAGTGAGTCAACCTATTTGGTTGGAGTAGAGGGTGTGTGTGGAAGAACAACGAAAGACAGATGGGGCCCAATTGTAGCACCAGGCTAAGAATCAGGACTTTGTCCTGCTGGTTAGAACAGGGATCTGACTGACAGGGACATGTGGGAGGAGCATCAACCTGTGTCACTCTGTAGGATGATGGGGCAGGGCAAGGGGAGAGGAGGAAAGAGCAATTAGCTCTGTTGCAATCGTTGGGGTGAGACTTGACGATGCTGGCTATTCCCAGAGTGGGAACATAAAGGCAAAGATAGAGTTTAAAAAAATGGGTCTATAATTCCATTTAAGAGCACTTTAGCCACTGATAGGGCAGTGACATTTATAATTCAAAAATCCAAACACATTTCATTCACTGATCTGAAACTCTGATCTTTCACTTCTAAGGGTGCTTCTTGAAAATAAGGCCTGTTCTCCACACTTGGAGGGAGTTCCCTCTGGAGCCTGGCTAGATGGAGATGGCAGCGGGAGAATCTGAGCTCTTATCTTTCGTGTTTACTCTGACTTTCGGGAAACTCCAGGCAAAAGGTTTCTCTGGGGGGAGTGTGTGCCTATGTGACTTTCCTCCTGCTTCTCCACATCTTATATGGAGCCGAACACTGCCCTCCTGATGCTGCTGACCCTAATCTCTGTTCAGAGAGAGTCTGGGGCTCAGTAAACCTGGGCTTGAAAAATACCACAGCTTCAGACTTCTGGGAGAAGGCAGGCAGGACGGGTTTCAACAAAGCCCTTGGCCCGCAGGCAAAGAGCTAATGGCAAAAAATGACTATTCAAAGAAAGCTCGGGTGTGTCAGCTTTTAAATGTTTTCCAGGATGAATTAATTTGGCAATGATGATTATACATGTTGGCAAACAGGGGGAATTAAAAATGCACAGTAAAGAAGCAAGGTGTGCAGAGGGAGGAGGGAACAAGTGGGAATGCAGAGGGTGGGGTCGCTGAGTGTGCATCAGACAGAGAAGAGAGGAAAAGACAAGAAGAAACAAGGAAGGTGGGTGAGAAGTGCATGGGATGGAAAAGGAAAATTTGACTTAAATGAAAACTTGACTTTTTCATAGTTGGCCCAGAATGTGTTTTAAATGTTTTTGAAAATGTGTACAGATAATATCTATTCTGTGGCAGTACATGCTGCCCAATTCTTGTTATGTTAGAAAATCTTGAAATCGATGTGTATAAAAATTTTGCATTTCTTTTTTTAAAATTCTTTATTATTGAAAGTATTATATATGTCTCCTCCCCCCTCCCATTGTCCTCTCCCAGCCTGTCCCTGCCCCCCAATTCCAGCCTTCATCCCCCTCCCCCAATTGTCTGTGTCCTTGGTTATGCCTGCATGCATACAAGTTCTTTGGTTGATCTCTTCCTCCCAAGTCTCCCCTCTGCCCACCCTCCCCTACCTTCCCTCTGAGGTTTGAGGGTCTGTTCAATGCTTCTATGTCTCTGGATCTGTTTTTGTTCATCAGTTTATGTTGTTCATTATATTCCACAAATGAGTGAGATCATGTGGTATTTATCTTTCTCTGACTGGCTTATTTCACTTAGCATAATGCTCTCCAGGTCCATCCATGCTGTTGCAAATGGTAAAAGTTCCTTCTTTTTTACAGCAGCATAGTATTCCATTGTGTAGATGTACCACAGTTTTCTAATCCACTCATCTGCTGATGGGCACTTAGGCTGTTTCCAAAACTTAGCTATTGTAAACTGTGCTTCGATGAACATAGGGATGCATATGTTCTTTCTGATTGGTGTTTCTAATTTCTTGGGATTACTGGATCAAATTTTTTATTTCTTTTTTAAAAAAATATATTTTTATTGTTTTTAGAGAGGAAGGGAGAGGGGAGAAGGAGAAAGAGATGAAACATCAATGATGAGAGAGAATCATCGATTGGCTGCCTCTTGCATGCCCTACACTGGGGATTGAGCCTGCAACCCAGGCACATGCCCTGAGTAGGAACCAAACCATGACCTCTTGGGTCATAGGTTGACTCCCCACCACCGAGCCATGCCGGACAGGCTTTTTTAAATTTTATTTCTTTTTTCATTTATTGAATTTATGCAGGTGACATTGGTTAGTAAAATTATATAGGTTTCAGTTTATAATTCTATACTGCATCATCTGTATATTGTATTGTGTGTTCACCAATCCAAGTTAAACCTTCTTCCAAATTTCACATTTCTGCAGCATTGTTAAGAATAGCCAAAGAGTGGAAACAACCCAACTGTATGTCAACTGACAAAATGGGTATATCCATGCCATGAAATATTTTTTTAGCCATAAAAAGAAATGAAGTTCTGACACATGATACAACATGGATGACCCTTGAGAATATTATGCCAAGTGAAAGAAGCCAGTTGCAAAAAATCACATTGTATGAAATATCTAACGTTGGCAAATTCATAGAGATAAAAAAAATGAATGGTTACCAGGGACTAGTGGGAAGTGACTACTAAGATCCATGGGGGTTCCCTTTGAGTGATGAAATATTCTAGAATTAGACAGTGGTGATGATTATACAACTTTCTGTACAGACTAAAAACCACCGAATTATACACTTTAAAATGATGAATTTTGACATCTGATTTATATCTGTTTTAAAAACATGAAAAGAATCTTGCATTTCCATGATTTCACTTCTCAACTTTGAGCATACTGATTTTGTTTTGTTTTGTATGTAAACTCTCCCTTTACCCCTGTCCCCAGAATTAACATTTTAGTCACATGTTTCAAAATTCAAAAGCTATCCTATCTAATAAAAGAGAAACATGGTAATTGGCATACGACTGCTACCCTTCCCTACGGCTAATCAGCGAGATATGCAAATTAACTGCCAGCCAAGATGGCACTGGCAGCCAGGCAGCTTGAAACTAACATGAGACTTGCTTGCTTCAGTGACGGAGGACTCCAACGTTCCCCGCCTGCCTTGCCGGCCTCTGAGCTTGCAGTTTAAGAAACATTGTAATGAATATAGAAGCTAAACAAAATCCCAGAAACCTGCTTTCAGCGAGCTGGGATCTCAGAGCTGGAGTTATACATTGTTTTGATTATAGAACCGAAACAAACCAGATACCTGCTTTCTGGAGCGGAGGCCTAAGAGCTGGAGCCTCAGAGCTAAAGCTGGCCCAGAATAAAAAAAAAAGAAAAAAAGGAGCGGTTGGGAGCTTCCGTCACCCGCCAGCCTGAAAACAGCCCTCAGCCCCTCACCCAGACTGGCCAGCCACCCCAGTAGGGACCCCCACCCTGAAGGGTATGTGACCAGCTGCAAACAGTCATCATCCCCTCACCTAGGCTGGCCAGGCACCCCAGTGGGGACCCCCACCCTGATCCAGGACACCCTTCAGGGCAAACCAGCCAGCCCCACCCATGCACCAGGCCTCTATCCTATATAGTAAAAGGGTAATATGCCTCCCAGCACTGGGATCAGCAGAGCTGAGAGGCCTCCCAGCACCGGGATCAGCGTGACAGGGGGGGAGCTCCCCAACCCCCTGATCGCCCTGTGGCTGTGTGTGTGACAGGGGGCGGGGCCACAACCTCCCTATCTGCCCTGCTCTGTTCCTGACAAGGGAAGGCGCCCCAACCCTCTGATCAGCCCTCCTCTGTGCCTGATACGGGGGAGCTCCCCAACCCCCTGATTGCCCTGCGGCTCTGTGTGTGACAGGGTGTGGCGCCCCAACCCCCACCCTCACGGGCCCCGCTCTGTGTGTGATGGGGTAGAGCAATAACCTCCCCATCGGCCCTGCCCTGAGTGTGACAGTGGCAGCACCCCAGCCCCCTGATCCGCCCTGCTCTGTGTGTGACAGGGGGTGGTGCCCCAACTCCCCTATCGGCCCTACTCTGTGAGTGACAGGGGGAGCTCCCCAACCCCCTGATGGGCCCTGCTCTGTGCGTGACAGGGTATGGATCCCCAACCCCCCTGATAGGCCCTGCTCTGTGCGTGACAGGGGGTGGCGCCACAACCTCCCCATCGACCCTGCCTTGAGTATGACAGGGGGCGGTGCCCCAACCCTCCAATTGGCCC